CCACCCTTCTTCACCCCCACTCGGCCTCCTCTGCATCCCGTGGCTACAGTCTTCTGGCCGGGAAGCACCGGCTGCTTGGATTCCACACACCCGCACTGGCCAACTCCCTGAGTGTCATTTGTTGGCTGCTGGTGTTGCTTTTTTCCACTTCTTTTGATTTCTTCCTTACCTCTCACCACCTCCCCCTCCTTTTGCTCAAATACTTGGCTCCATGCGCCATCTTTGCTTCCTTGTGAGGGGCTGTGGAACTTTGTTCGAGTTTCGAACTGCTTCTCCGTCCATGCTGCCACGCTGGTAGGATCCCAGAGCTTTTTTTCATTTGTTTGTTTTCAATTGTTTGTTTGTTTTCTTTTTCTTTTCTCGAGTTGGGAGCCCATTCTGGCCGGGTGGTGCTGTGCGGCTTGAGACTTACCCCCTCAGTTTGCACAGACACACAGAGGGATCCCTGAGTGCAATTCCTTTCTTCGTGGTTTTTTTTTTTCCTGTTTTTTTGGGGGGGTTTCTTGTTCTTTTTTCCTTTTGAAATTTGTTTTGTTTTCTTTTCCCTCTTTTCCCCTTTTTGTCTTTCTTCATTACTCAGTTTCTTGTCTCTCTATACCTTCATTCTCTTCTTGTCCCCTGGATACCTGGTGCTGAATACCTCTACGCCTCCTAGCCAGGCTGTACTTCAACACCTGGGAACAACTTCCTCAGACCTCATAGCCACAACGGTGGGATCCCTGGGAGCTTTGCTATTTTTTATTTATTCATTCTTTTCTTTTTTTTCTTCTTCTTCCCCTTTTTGTTTTTCTCCATTTCATAGTCTCTCATCTCTCCACTCCAACAGCAAGCTCCCCTAGCACTCTTTTTTGTTTGTATGTTTTTGGTTCCTGTTCCCCTCTCCTCTCTCCCATACGCATCTTAGCTCCACACATTACAATCTACCCCCTCCATCCTGCCTACCTGCACCATGCACTTAAAATCATACCACCAAGCAGCACAGGCATGGCCTACCGGAACATACCCTGCAGTGATCACTGACCCACCCTAGTGGCAGTAGTAGGTGCCACAAACAACCCATCCCAGCAACTCCTCTTCAGCTAGACCTGCCCTGCTGTATCATATCTGAGCGACTGACCTTGCCAGTTGGAGAAGGAGGCAAAAAGTATTGTGCCCACAGATAAGCAAACAACAAAGAACACACAGCCAGCCTGCTCAGACATAGCCAAATTAAAAAAAAAAAACAACAAAACAAGACCAAACAAACAAATCTACAATCAACAAACAAGAAAAATAACTACTAAATGCCCCAAAGACAGCTGACAATATCAAAACTTTTACAAAAAC